ACACACACACACACACACACACACACACACACACACACACACACACACACAGCTATCCATTTGGGGATACTCCATTGACTTCCATTACAGCCTAACCCTGACCACAAACCCTAAGGCTAACCTCACAGGTACCTACCTGACCCTAAAACTAACCTAAACTCAATTCACACCTTGGTCCTAAACCCAACCCCCAACCCACCAATGGCATTTAAACCAAATGGVGACTTGACTTTTGTTCCCAAATGCACCAGTTGTCCCCAAATGTAGGATTTTTGTCTTAAAATTGCCCCCAAATGTCACCAAAGCCAAACCCACACACACACACACACACACACACACACACTGCAGATAATAGCTGAAAGTTGGACTTGACACGGATCATCATCACTCTTTTGCCGTCTGTCCCTCAATCAATACTTCCCCTCCTCCTCCCTCTTCGTATTATCAGCACTAATCTATATCGCTTTGTCTCGTTTTCTTTAGACTTGCCTTCTTCACTCCCAGTCTTTTCTCCAAATTACATTAGGGACAATCCCGTGTCTTCGAAGGTAACAAATGTAATATGACCTACATCCGAATCAGACGGAGAAAAATCAGGCCACACGAGCCGAAGGGCAGGAGCACACAGAAAACCTGAGAGTCGCCCACGATAAACACAGAAAGGGGAGCGTTGATTGGAAGTGGATTGTGAAGATTTCACTTTTGCCTTTCTTCCCTTTCCAACAAAAGCTACAAAGAAAAGGCGAGGTGGGCGGGGCCTCGGCAGTCCAACAATCCTCATGGAGCCTGGCTCCAAACAAAACCGAAATGGTCGCGTTAATAAAAAAGCAATCACTAATGCTCGTCTCGAGCACAAGGCCGCGGGCGGCGCAGGCGTGGAGACGGCGCTGGCATTCTTCAGCAAGCCGCCGTCTTTTGTGAAGCCATGTGTCACGCTCACAAACTTCCCATCTCTAAATGTATTCCCACAATAAGAGAGTGGAGAGTGTCGGGCTTTTCATTTAGTGGGGCCATTAACAGGACGGCCTGAAAGGACTGGAAATGAACCCAGCTTTGCTCAGAGCGGGCTGCCGTGTGCCTCTTCTGCTGCTTTGGTTGGCCTGTTTACTGTTGATGCTACCACGGCTGGCCTCAGAGCCGCAGGATTGTCTACAGCTGCGGGGCCGGCCTGCCTCAGCTGCAAGATCTGATCTAGATATCAGCTCTGTAAGTGGCTTTAAAAAAAACATTTTAACCGAAGTGAATTTAAAAAGATCAATAAAGCTCAAAGCCAGACATGACAGTGACTGTGAGACGGCCACATTCAAGGTTTTGGCCTTTATTTCTTTGTGCATTTTCAGAATAAATCATGTAATTATTATGTTAAAACACGATGTTTGATAGGCATGAACAAAATCAGTTAAACACTGAGAAACAAGAAAGGAGATGAATGGGTTTACTGTAGTTTAGTCAGGTCCCAGATGTATGAGCTGTACCTGACACGATGATGATGATGATGATGATGATGATGATGATGATGATGATGATGCACACTAATTTGACTTTTCTAAAATTTCAGATCTTTTTGAAACAAACTCTTCTCACTCCTACGGTTTTTTAGTACATTTAAAAATAATACGAGAATGATGTTTT